GACTTTCATGTTGGAGGTCTCAAGTTCGAAACCCCTTGCCAGCGAAAGCAAGGGGTTTGCCTTCTGGGTCGAGCTCGTCGCACCAGGTTTGCCTAGTGCGGTTTACCTCTCCTATGTGGTTTGCCAGCTATTGCATAGGAGCGGGGGTTTTACCCTGTGCGCACCCAAAGGGTAGCGGCTGCGGGTTTCCCTTGTCATAAAAAAAAATAAAAAAAAATAATACCTTAAAGTAGGAAACATCCAAAAGTACATGCATCAAATCTCCTTAACAATTCTTCCTAATTATAGGTATATGATCATTTGATGAATCCATATGATGATCTTGTTTTTTTCTTTTAATTGAATAGGCTGCAGATGGTGAAGATGATTACATATGCAAGATTGTTGAGTTTTTTCAAGGTGTTGATGATATGAAGTATTTTACTGCTCAGTGGTTTTACAGAGCCAAGGATACTGTAAGAAATACCTAACTTATGAAGGCTAGTTCTTCTCATCAACACTTTAAAAAAAATTGTCTCTAACCTTTGTTCTTTCATCAGGTAATTAAAGCTCATGACCAGTTTATCGACAACAAGCGTGTATTCTTATCAGATATTAAGGATGACAACCCTCTTGATTGCCTTGTAAAAAAAATCAAGATTGTTCCAATATCATCAAATGTATGTCGGTTTTTACTTAATGTTAGAGTTGGTTAGAGTTTCACATTGGTTAGAGAATGAATTGGTGGTTTGCTTATATGCTCTTAGCAATCATCTTCTCATGGCATTAGTCTAGATCTTTTCATGACCCCCATATTAAATTGCATGCTCTAGCTGGGCTTTAGGGGTGTTAGGGAGGGGTGTGTGTGTGTTAGAGGGGTCTGGAGTCGTACATTAGTTGAGGTTGAATTGATGGTTTGTTATAGGGTCTTGCGCAATTCTTCTCTCAGGAGCTATTTTTTGGGGATGAGTTAGCTCAAGTGCCATATTGTTACACTTGCTAAGAAGATACTTTGATTCTCTTGGCTTTAACAAGCAACACTAATGTGCGTTGGATATTATTTGTAGGTAAGCTTACAGTTTAAGGAAAGTTTGAGATCAGAATGTGACTATTACTATGACATGAAGTACCTTGTTCCATTCTCGTCATTTATTAGTTTACCATCAGGTAATTTTTTTCAAGTATATTTCTCATTAACATAGTAACTGAAGTCAATTATTTTCTTAAAATATGTTTGATTTGACAGTAAAATATTTTCTTCACAAATATCTCAACTCTTTTTGCCCCCCTGCAATCAATACTTACGACATTGTTATCAAATTTTAACATGTAACAATTTAACCAAACTTTCATTGCAGAACACTATTTAATTTGTTGACCCTATAATTAATCTATTATAAATAGCTTTTAGAAAATAATTGTTGTTGTAAGCATTTCCCTTTGTATTGAAGACATGAGATATTTCTTTGAATATATAGATTACAAAGACTGCTATTTTTGTAGATGTTTCAAGTCCTGATAGTGAATTAGATTCTACCATATCAAGCGACGCTGATGTTGTGGAAGTCGATGAACAGAAGCAAGAAAAGAAGCTCCTGGATCTCTATTCCGGTTGTGGTGGAATGTCCACTGGGTTGTGCTTGGGTGCTGATGTTTGCGGTGTTAAACTTGTCACTGTATGTCCTATTATCCAATATGGTTTTCTTGTCCTTTCTCCAATCTTTTGTTTGTTTTTGTTGAATTGTGTCTCCACTTCATAAAAAATTTAAACAATTAGAGATAATTCAGTTTTATTTACTTGGATGTGTAATCAATACACCCTTGCACATGTGCGGCTACTTTACTGATGGCCAAACTTGTGGTAAGACCAAGTGTTGAAGAGATTTAAGTGCATCACCGTTAAGTCTGTTACAGTTTGGTTATCATGTCAAATTGTGTGACTACTTCATCTAAAAGTCTAAGCTTTCATAAAAGGATACTTCTATTTATTTTACTTTCTTATCTTAGCACTTTTTATTTCTTGAATGCAGAAATGGACTGTTGATCTAAATCGATATGCTTGTGATAGTTTAAAAGTGAACCACCCAGAAACTGAGGTAATGATTGATGAGGCATTTTGATTATCTTTCTTCTTTTTATTCTTTAAATGAATAAATTGTGTTTGTGCAGGTAAGGAATGAATGTGCTGAAGATTTCTTATTGCTTTTGAAGGAGTGGGAGCAGCTTTGTGCATCCTGCTCCTTGTTGAAAAGCAATACCGTGGCACATCCTTTGCTGAAAGTAGGAGATAAGGATGTGGAAGATGACGATGATCGTGCAGATGATGACGGGGGATCTGATGACGATGATGAAGGTGAAATTTTTGAAGTGGAAGAGATCTTGGAAGTTTGTTATGGAGACCCAAAGGAAATAAAAAAGCCAGGCCTTTACTTTAAGGTATTTGTTCACCGTGTTTGGAAGTTTTTGCCTACTTTACTGCTAACTCTTAGGTATATATTATATAGGCTACTCCAGTGAACAATTCAAGACTTCGTAGATAAGTTATTGGGTTTTCTGGTTGTTCCTCATATCACTTACTGCGTATGACTAGGTATGCTGGAAGGGTTATGGCCCGGATGAAGACACTTGGGAGCCAATAGAAGGCTTAGAGTATGAATTTCAAACCAAGCAACATATTATGAGTCCATGTTTTTCATTAATACATTTATCTAATGATTGACATTTTTCTATAGTGGCTGTCAAAACAAAATAAAGGACTTTGTGACCAAGGGCTTTAAAGAAAGTGTTTTGCCATTACCTGTAAGTTTCCTCCTTTTGTCTAGATTTGGATCTCCACAATACGTATTTGCAATTCTTTGGTTTGAACTTTTTTATTGGTTATATACTAGGGGGAAGTAGACGTCATATGTGGGGGACCTCCTTGCCAGGGCATAAGTGGCTTTAATCGTTTTAGGAACTCAGCGAATCCATTACATGATCCGAAAAATAAACAACTTGAAGTATTCATGAGCATTGTGGAGTTCTTGAAGCCAAGGTTCGTGTTAATGGAAAATGTGGTGGACTTGCTGAGGTTTGCTCATGGTTACCTTGGAAGATATGCACTAAGCAGACTTGTTGGAATGAACTACCAAGCACGGATGGGAATGATGGTTGCTGGGGCATATGGACTTCCACAATTTCGTATGCGTGTCTTCATGTGGGGTGCTCTTCCTTCAGAGGTAAAGAAACAATTATGCTTAAATATTCCTTTTCTTGTTCTTCTATGTGCTCACTGCTCAACTTAAAATCTCTCCCTGTCTTGCAGAAATTGCCACAATATCCGTTGCCCACACATAATGTCATTGTGAGGGGTGGCATCCCCACAGAATTTGAGGTAGTCTACCGAATTCGTTAAAATACTGCATACTCTTCCATGTTGCTGTTGGCTGAATATGTTTTTGAATTTGAATACAGTTAAATGCAGTAGATTTCGAAGAGGGCCTGCAGGTCAAGCTAAAGAGAGAACTTCTTCTTGAGGATGCACTTTCTGATCTTCCTCCTGTATGTAATAAACATTAAAGTTGCTCGAAAGACAGACTACCAGTTAGTTAAACATATACTTAATATGGCTTTGTGTTCCTGTATTTACGGAAATAATTTTGAATTTTAGGTGGAAAATAATGAACCAAGGAACGAAATGCCATATACTGATGAGCCAAAATCTGACTTTCAGCGGTTCATAAGATCAAGGAGGGATGGTGAGTTTGTTTATGATTATTTAGTCTTGGAAATATGCATCTTGGTATTACCTGAAAATAATTCAGTATTTTACTAATTCATTATGATTGCATTTCAATATCATAGGTACGTTGGGTACTGTTTTGTATGATCATCGTCCCCTTCAGTTAAACGAAGATGACTATCAGCGTGTATCTCAAATTCCCAAACGAAAGGTATTACACCTGTTGTGACCTGCTATTTGTGGTAGAACATGAGTATATCTATGGGGTTGTTGATTCCTTCTTCAATAATTACAGGGTGCAAACTTCAGGGACTTGCCTGGGGTTCGTGTTCGTGCTGATAATGTTGTTGAATGGGATCCAGATGTGGAAAGAGTAAAACTTACATCAGGGAAGCCTTTGGTATGATTTGCTTTTTGTGCTACATGTCATTTTGATTGGTGTTTCTGTGTCTGCTTCTTATAGTTCTGCAACTTCACAGGTTCCTGACTATGCAATGACTTTTGTTCGTGGCACTTCACAAAAGTAATGATACGATGTTTTCCTAATTTTATTCTGCTTGCACTACTACCCTGATCCATCATAATGGTTCTTTTGTTGTCATTTGAAATTATACAGGCCATTTGGTCGTTTATGGTGGGATGAAATTGTTTCAACAGTTGTTACAAGAGCCGAGCCCCACAATCAGGTACCTTTGCCTTTGCAAGTTGTCTCAAAATACACCTTGTGCGTCTTCACTTGGTTTAGTCTGATACTCTTCGTTGCTTTTGAGCCCCTTTCAGGCTATATTACATCCAGTGCAGGACAGAGTGCTCACTATCCGTGAAAACGCAAGGCTGCAAGGTTTCCCTGATTACTACAAATTGACTGGACCAATAAAAGAAAGGTAACATCTGAATCAAAATAGTGACCACTTTATGTGTGCATTTGTATATGTTATTTGCTGATCCTTTCCATAAAAAAAAAACAATCAGTTTACTCTTATTTGCATTTCTTATAAGGTCTAACAACTGATCATGCCTGTTTTTTTTAATGGTTCGTAAAGTAGAATATAATCTTTGCCTATGTTGAATTCGCCAAAAGTAGTGTATTTTTGGTGAATTCAACACGGGGGTGGCATCAAAAGTGAGGAGTCCGTGCAACTATGAAACTTCTGCTGCATCAACATGTAGTTTTGACATTCTTGACAAATTCAATCTGAATATGTCATGAAGAGTGTAATTTGCAGAGATAGACATGTTTTCTCGTTATATATAGAACACGTAGCACTCTTTATTTTACAGGATCTGAGTTCATGTTTCGTGTTCTTAGGTACATACAAGTTGGAAATGCAGTTGCTGTACCAGTTGCCCGGGCTTTAGGGTATTCTTTAGCATTAGCATTGAAAGGATTGTCGTCGCGAGATCTACCATTACTGACATTGCCACCTAATTTTCCATGTCTAGAGGAACTGGTCTCCAATGAAGAATCTCTAGATAAGCTTTAATTATCTGAACATTAGATCAAGCTATTCACCTCCACTGATTATTTCCAATTTTAATCATTCTTTAGTTTACTTGAAGTAGTTTGTTGTAATGCAAGTTCTGCATTAACATTATATTTTGGTTAGTTGCTAATTTAGGCCTATGGAGAAGTTTGTGTATGCATACATTGGATTGACAGCTTAACTGTTTTTGGTGTAAATGATAACCATTGTAGTACAATGGTTAAATTTTGATTATTTATCTTATATGCAAAGCCTATTTCTTGCTTAATTAATTGTGCTCAATATTTTGTTTATGGCAAGTCTGTTTTCAAGTTTGAATATTATTAAGACTTTTAGCTGAAAGAAAACCAATGTGAATTACAATATAATATAACTTTATGGGCCGTTTGGTTGGATAAGGATAATAATCCTGAAATGTCTAATGGAATTGTTTTATTTTGCATACGGAAAAGGCTCAAAAATATCCCTAAACTATTGGAAATAGCTTAGATTTACTCTTAAACTATATTCCGGTTCAAAACTACTTTTCCTGTCAAAGTATTGGGTCACACTTACCTTTCTAGTTAACAGAAGTATGTTAAGAGCCATGTGGATGCCACATAAGCGCCAACCATTTCCCACTTCCACGTAGACTAATAAGATCCCTAATATCTAATTTTCCCCTCATTTCTCCATTTCCCTTAGAAATGATTTCACCCCACCCCTTTCCCCTCATTTTGCGGTTAGGGTAAGAAACGATTTCACAGATTTCTTCATTTCGCAGTTGGGTTTCGAAGTTGATTTTGCGATAAAATAAGAACAAAGATTTACTAACCTACAGCCGCGAAGATCTACTTCGAAACCCAGCCGCGAAATCAACTTCGAAACCCAGCCGCAATATGAAGAAATCTGTGAAATCGTTTCTTACCTTAGCCGTGAAACTGAGGGGAAATGGGTGAAATCGTATTGAGGGGAAAATTGGATATTAGTAATCTTATTAGTCTACATGGAAGTGGGAAATGTTAGGCGCTTATGTGGCGTCCATGTGGTGTCCACGTGACACTTAACATACTTCTGTTAACTAGAAGGGCAAGTGTGACCCAATACTTTGACGAAAATGGTAGTTTTGAGCCGAAATATAGTTTAAGGGTAAATCTGAGCTATTTCCGATAGTTTTGGGGTATTTTTGAGCCTTTTCCGTTCTGCATATGATATGAGCATTATTTAGTCATCCCACTAACCAAACCACCCCTATTTCATCTGAGACAGAGAGAACTAGAGAATTTTTGCAGACTCAAATCCAAGAAAAATGATCATTAATTTGCAGAAACATTTAGTGACATTACATTCATTCTGCTTGATAGCTAAAGCTCTCAATTAAGTACTATTTCATCCGCGTAACAAAGGAGTAACTTTTGGTCTAGTACAACAAGAAGTAGTAAGTGATGAGCAGAACTATCTCTTAACGCGCTTGTTGCTTTTTGCAGAACGATCACCTTTGTGGAATCCTCCGAAATCGTTGGTAGTGTCAGCAGTGTTCTGCTTCTTTAAACCTTTCCTACCACCAAATCCAAACTTGGAATCCTTGTATTCCCTGCTTTTCCTCTTTTTGTCGAACCCCTTCCCTTTACCTTTCCCACCAAATGTTGCCTTACCACCTGAACGATCTCCGGGAGATGCACCAGGCCTCTTCTTATTCGATCTCTGATAGGGTTTATCAGCATTTCCTCCGTTAAATGCCAAATCTAGACCACCAGCATCTTCTTTATCGAAGCCACTTTGCTGCCTTTGCTTCCTCCACTTTTTAACGGATTCAATCTCTTGCTTCTTCTGCTTAGTTCTTTCTTTCATCTTCTGTGCTTGTACATCCTTGGCAAGTTTCTTGTTATCTCTGGCCTTCCTCCTCTCCTCGGACTCCTCAATCCTCCTCTTCTCAGCCAAGAGTCGGCCCTTAACTTTCTCCATGTGAGTGTCAGACTTCACCATTTCTGCATAGTAATCAGAGGGCCTCAGAAATGGTTCACCGGTTGACTGAAAGTTGATGTACGCTTGGCGTATACCCTCCAACCCCTGCGTGTAAAACGAGTGCTCCCTCGCCAAATCATCGTTCACATCCACCTCTTCTTGCTCCTCCCTGTTGATGCTAAGCCTGTGAGTCCAATCCAAATCATCAGGCCAACTGATATCAGCTAGCCTTTCAAGTAAACCATCCCTGTTATATACAGCAGTTTTTGAAGGTTCAGCCAGCTTTACGACTTGCTGATCTCCTTCTTCATCTTCCGATTCCGACTCTGTCTCTGGATCAAAATCCTCATTCTCTAAGTTCATCATAGCAATTTCATCCGCAACCATCATACACAATCACACTTTCTGATAAAAAGAGTGAAAAACATAATATTAGAGTTACTGACTAACTAGCTCAAATTACAACCTCTAACAATACCGAATTGACATGAATCCCTCTGACATACATGGCTCCACCCCCACCCCCAACAACAACAACAACAACAAAATCCAATTTTTTTTTTTTGATAACCGAGAAATCTGTCTGCAACCCGTCCTTTGGATCAATCACAACATTCTAAACTTGGTGGATAATGGGCCCGCCTCTCTACCCTTCTCCACTTAAATATCGGGCTTCATTTTGCATGGTGTGGGGCTTGAACCTGCGACTTAAGCCACAAATCCTCCACCTTTTTGTGGTGATATGTAACAAAAACTAATCTTTTTAACAACCCCATATCTTTTTTTTGTTTATTATTAGATTTTTCACACCAAATTAGCACAGATTATTCTGTTTCAAGAAATCATCACAAAGCAAGCAAACAACAGTCAAATTAGCACTTAAAAACACCAAACAAAAAACAATAAAATATATATGTGATTTCAGTTTTGTAAATTACATCAATGGAAAACAATGGAGATTAACAGAGAGAGAACAAACTTACAAACAATTGGAAGAATTCGAAAAAGTTCAGAGATTTTTTTGGGACGAAGGGTTTAGAGTAGGGTTTTAGTATTAAATGATGGGCTGAAATTTATTGGGTTATAGTAAATGGGCTTGAAAGTTTTTTTTTTAAATATTTTTTTTTACTTTTGATTTAATATATAATTGAATTTTATATAAACATTTCATTTAAAAACTCATGAAAGTTGATGAAGCAACAAATTGTTGGTGGATTTGAGCTTGAAGTAGCTATTAAAATAGCACCAACATGGGTTGTGGTGCACTGGTGGAAGTGTTTCACCCATCAAAGGTCTCGGATTCAAACCCTGGATATGGAGAAAATCATGTTGGGAGTGTCACCCCGAATGAGCCCTGCAGTGCGCGATCAGAATTTAGTCAGGGGTCCAATGTGGTCTCTTGACACCGGGTGGAAAACAAAAAAAAAAGCTATTAAAATAACATAATTTATGATTTTTTTTGTAAAATAAAATAAAATATGTGTGATTTTATACAAAACGGGAGGCTACACTATTAGACCCACTAGATATTAAAATAGATATTCTTCTTATTTGAATCTAATATATGTATTCTGTATTAAATTATGTTTCTCATCACTCTTCATATGGTATAGAATCAGTGGCGAAGCCAGACATTTTATGAAGGGCGTGCAAATTTTTTAAAAGTAACCAATAAAATATTTAGTGAGTTTTGACTAATAAAAAATGATGAAGGGTGTGCAAAATTTTAAAAAGTAACTAACAAAATATTTAGTGAGTTTTGACTAATAAAAATGATGTTAAAAACTTAAAGGAACCAAGAATCCAACCTCCGACCTCAAGCCTTGAAGCTTCTAACGCGCTCTTTACCACTGAGCCAAGGGCTCTAATTATGTCAAGTGTGTGCAAACTTATGTACTATATATTAACAATTTCATTAATTTGACCTAGTATTATTTTCCGGCGAAGGGTGTTCACATGCACACCCATCACTAGCTGTAGCTCCACCCATGTATAGAATCAACTTTCAATTGGCTAAATCTAGTTTATCATATTTTAATGTATATATAATGTGTATTTAATGTATATATAATATGTATACAATACGTATGTAATATGCTTTTGTAAAATATTGGTGTTTAGATGTATATATTTGTTAGGTATTGTTAGAAATCTAATGTTATATATTGAAAACTAGAAACTCATGTTAGGACTAATAATATTCAATCTTAGATATATTATTTATTAATATTTTCCTTTATTGAAGTTCATATAAGGCCCAAGTAAGGCTCATTTACCCAAAATCATCTAGGGGTTGAAAACCGAACCAAAATCAATAACTCGAACCAAATCTTTTTATTAGTTTATTGATAATGAATTATTAATTTAGCGGTTTTGGTAATGGTCTGATTTAGTTTTAATATTGATTATTAGTTCTTAACTGTTTGAGATTTTTTCTTATTGGATTAAATTTTGTTTCATACTTTCATTTTTTATTGTCTCAAACTTTGGTTATTTTTCAATGTGCTAGTGTTTGCTTTAGAGCAAGATGCAATCTGTCAACTCATTTGCATGGTTTATATGGTTTGTCTCTTTGTTTCTAAGTGATTTTTTGTGTGTGTGCAATATCTTAACGGTTAAATCGATGATCAAATCGATAACAATCAATATTTGATAAATCAATAAATTAAAATTTTGATGGTTCCATAACGGGTTAGCATGTCTACAATGGATAACTGATAAGTCAAACCTTATTGATCGATACACCGCCTAGTCTGAAAGGATAAATGTAAGTTTACCTTAACCCTGTTTTTGAGATTGAGATATTATTTTCGATAAACCTTCGACTCAATGTTTTTAAACCATCATTTGAGTTTTGGAAAAAAACTACACAAATTGCTGTTATTATTTAAATTTGCCCACATACCTATTAGTAATCACTAAAATACCCGCAAGCTAAATAAAAGTCATTTAGTTATCTATGAAACCTACATGGTATATTCTGTATATTGACAGGGTATCATATAAGATTGATTTAGTATAAAATTAATAGGTTGTGTTGGTATCGTTGATCTTAGACTAAGCTCTTTATTTTAAAAAATATTAATAATGAATCAATCATTTATGATATTCTATCAATATATGATGTATATCATGTTGGTATCATATATAACTGAGCTACTTTTATAAGGAATGAACAAGTTTATATGATACCATTTTCAATATATGATATATATATACCATGTGAGTGTCTTTTGAAAGAAAGAATGAGCAAGTTATTTATCATATCATGCAATATATACCATGTGAGC